GAGTGGCAGCCTCTTACCGGTATGCGCAGTGTAGGGCGACCTCCCACTAGATGGAGTGACGACCTGGTAAGACATGCAGGAAGTCGATAGATGCAGATAGTTTGGGACCGTGCTTTGTGACATTACCTGGGGGAGGCCTATGTACAGCAGTGGACTTGTGAAGGGCTGTAATGATGATGATGATTATGATAAACAAAAATACAAACTGTATTTTAAAATGAATACTCACGACTAATAATCTGATACTTTTTAAAAATACGATCAGCAACGGAACCATCTAGCCTACAACAATTTTTTGTAGTACATATTTTTTCGGTATACCATGATTTGATCCTTTTGGTACACTCATTGTTTCTGCAGAAGTCGATTACGTAACCAATGTTACGGCATTGTACATTCCAATAATTACGTACGTTTTAGTCTCTTTATGGTATTACATACGTATACACTATACCACGGGGAGCAGGTCTTTTTGACTATTTAAATTTTTAGTTTTAGTTTTTGTATATTATAGTTTCTTTTTTTATATTGTATATAATTAGTATAAATCGTAAATATTACAATTTTAATTATTATTTTAGTTAAGTTCATTATTATAATTTTTGTAATATAAATGAATACATGGTAATAAATTCTTATTAAACTGTCAAAAAAATTAGTAGGTAGGTTTCTGTTGTTATAATGTTTATTAACTGTGTATGCTCGTAGTAATTACTTATTTAAATAATTAGAGTAATAGGTTTTTTAAAAGATGTAAAGAGAGAAAAAAGTGGCCTTTTCACCATGGACGAGAATTAATTAAAAATATTTCGTTTATGTTCTTACTGCTGGGAACCGAGAGTTCTTTAGCTCAGTGTCTGCATGTCTTTATTCATTCAAGTGAAAGTAGTGTAAAGGAAATTGTAAAGAGAAAAAAGTTTATCTTAGTCTAGATAACTTACAAAATGTTGTGATAGTATTTCATTAATTTTACTTTTCTGGTACATAAGAGATGTTTCTATTAAAGTATTTGCATGTAAATGTTAAAAAAATTAGTTCTTCTGCCAAAATTTAAAAAAATCACGTATTAATACGACCCTTTAAAAGTGAAAAAGATTCATGATACTTGTACTAGATACGGTGCACGTAAATTTCAAAATGTGAGTAAATAATATACGATTTTCGCCCAACTAACGTGATTTGTAAAATAATAAAGTATGCAATAAATGCTTTTTGATGCTAGGTGCATGCCTTTAACAAAATTCAATTCACCAGCGAAGTCTGTCGCGATTAATTGAATTTTGTTACAGGGCTAATCTCTGATGACTGTTGTCAGACTTTATAATTTAATTTAAATACATTTTTAATTTATTTAACCATGGATGTATCAGATTACTCACGATAAATGAAATACGTTTAAACGTGTTAGAGTCATTCTGTCACGAGTGGGTCAGCTCTATCACGGAAGGAGTACTCTTTTACAAAATATCAGCGTAAAAATACAGTGAGTGTAAAGAACAGAAGACTCATTTTACTGGAAAGGAGGCATTTCATCTTAGTCCTTAACGAGTGATAACGCAACTTTATACATATACAACGGGTCACAACATTATACACACACATACTTTCCACCATGGGGGACCTTGAGCTCGTTTGTTACCTTTATTCTATAAAAAAAAGGAAATCAGCAAGTACTGCCTCTGTGCTACACTGCTCTGGGTTGTAATCTTATATTAATATTTATGTTTTTTTTTTTATAGAAGGAGGGGCAAACGAGCATGTGGCTCACCTGATGTTAAGTGACTACCGCCGCCCATGATCAACCGCAACACCAGGAGAATTGCGGGTGCGTTGCCGGCCCTTTAGAAAGGAGTAAGCTCTTTTCTTGAAGGTCCCCAGGTCGTATCGGTCCGGAAAAATCGCCGGTGGTAAACTATTCCACAGAGAGGTTGTACGTGGAAAAAAACTCCTTGTGGAACGTACAGTGGTGGACCGCCAAGCATCCAGATGGTGTGGATGGTATCGGGACGTTTGACGTGTAGTGCGTTCACGAAATTTGGCGGCTGGGATTAATCCGAACAATTCCTCAGAGCACTCCCCGTGATAGATGCGATAAAATACGCAAAGAGATGCAACATCTCTTCGCAGCGCCAGTGAATCGAGCCGATCGGAAAGCACTCGGTCGTCGACGATTCGAGCCGCTCTGCGCTGGATGCGGTCAAGTGGAAGAAGCTGGTACTGGGGAGCCCCAGCCCAGAGATGGGAACAGTATTCCATGTGCGGCCGAACCTGCGCCTTGTAAAGTTGCAGGCGGTGTGCCGCCATGAAATACTGTCCCGCTCTGCTGAGCACGCCAAGCCTTTTAGAGGCCAATTTGGCCTTCCCTTCCAAGTGACCACGAAGCTGCACGTCACTCGATATGTCGACGCCGAGGATTCCGATACTGGCTGAGGCAACAAGGGGAGTGCCTTGAAACTGAGGGGATACGACAAAGGGGTTCTTTTTAGCGGTTAACGCGCAAACTTGTGTCTTCTGGGGGTTAAACTGGACTAGATTTAGTCGCCCCCAATCCGAGACTCTGTCCAGCAGAGACTCGACTTCAGACACAAGTTTGTCCCGGCACTCGGAGACGTTTTCCCGAGAAATATTGGCTCGGCCGGTGTAAAGAGCATCACCAGTGCTGTCATCTGCATAGCAATGAATGTTACGGGTCCGCCACATGTCATTGATATGCAGAAGAAACAGCGTTGGCGATAGCACACAGCCCTGTGGAACACCAGCATTAATAGGCTTGCAATCGGAGCTTGCACCGTCTACAACGACCTTGATGCTCCGATCTGCAAGAAAGCTGGTGATCCAATCGCACAATTTCTCGGGAAGCCCATAGGAAGGGAGCTTCGAAAGAAGCGCTTTGTGCCAAACCCGATCGAAGGCCTTCGCAATGTCCAAACTAACGGCCAATGCCTCCCCCTTGAACTCTACTGCCTCCGCCCATCTGTGAGTTAGGTAGACCAGAAGATCACCAGCTGACCGACCACGGCGAAAACCGTATTGGCGGTCACTAATCAGCTGGTGATCTTCAAGGTACCTCATGAGCTGGCAGTTTACAATGGACTCCATTGTTTTGGAGAACAAGGAGGTGATGGCGATTGGCCGGTAGTTGGACGGGTCAGAGCGGTCGCCTTTTTTAGGGATCGGGTGGACGTAAGCCGTCTTCCATGATTTTGGGACTACGCCTAGGGAATAGGAGTACCGGAAAAGACGCGTTAAAACCGGTGCCAACTCTGGAGCACACGTCCTCAGCACAATTGGGGGGATTCCGTCAGGCCCACTCGACTTGTGGATGTCCAGGGAGAGGAGTGCTTTACGAACCGAGCGCTGTGTGAAGTGCACTTCCGGCATGGAGCACTCACACCGCGGGATGGTCGGCGGAGTACTCCCCCCGTCATCGAGAGTCGAGTTAGACGCAAAGAAAGAGCCTAGAAGATCGGCTTTCTCCTTTGCGGTATGGGCCAGTGAGTCGTCCTCCCTGTGCAGAGATGGAAGAGATGGCTGACAGAAATTCCCCTGGACAGCCTTGGCGAGAGACCAGAATGCACGGGTTCCAGAAGGAAGGCGAACTAGTTTCTCGCCAATTCTGCCTATGTGCTCTGACTTTGCCTTGGCAATGACTCTTTTGAAGGACCTAGAGGCGGAATTATACTTCTTTTTTAGAGCGCTGGTGTTTACATCCCGGGACGCTGATGCATCAGCCCAGGCATGGTAGCACTCCTGCTTATAGCATGATGCTATTTTACAGGAGCGACCAAACCATGGCTGAGACTTGCCTCCAATGGGCACCACAGAGGAAGGAATAAAAAGTTCCATACCCTGAAGTACCACATCAGCAACAGAGTCCGCAACAACGTTGGGATCATCCGGCGAGAAGCAAACCCGCCCCCAAGGGTAGGATGCAAAGAAAGACCGCATCCCATCCCAATCGGCTGACCTATAGTACCAAACACGGCGGCAGCCTGCAGAATGCAACCGCGATTTCAGCGTGAGTGGCACCACACTCCGGACCAGACAATGGTCCGAGGAGCCTAAAGGGGCGTCGACGGAAATCTGATATCCGTCCGGGTGAGAGGTCAGCAGAAGGTCCAACAGGGAAGGTGCATGATCCTCCACATCTGGAATCCGCGTAGGCGAAGTAACCAGTTGTGTCAGACCATATGCCAAGGCAAAATCATGAACAAATCTCCCCGCATGATCGGTTAAACGTGAACCAAGCCATTCGGCGTGATGGGCGTTAAAGTCGCCGAGGATCACGACGATGTTACATTATTAACAAAAGCAAATTAACGCGCAATGCAATATGTTGTACCTTTTCATCAGAAATGTCATGGGTGGACTTTTTTTATTCAAATGTACTCATTTTAAATTAGAAGCAACTAACAGTTGTGCTATATATATTTGAGTTTAGATTTGGGCATACATTTGATTTAGAATTGAAAATGCTAGTGCGATAAAATATTATACAAAATTGTGACGCATAAAGAAAATAAACCGCAGTATCTATGATTATGTATTTTTTCTTTTTTTTTTTAAAAAAAAGACGTTACCCCTACACTAGGATTTTCTCCTGTATCGTGGGGGCAGTTTACAAACATAAATTGCACAAGGACAAACATCCAGATCCGGAACAATTATTTGTAGGCCATACAAATACTTGATCCGTGCGGGATTCGAACCCGCGACCCCAGTGCAGCCACTCATAGCTAAGCCACTGCGCCACGGAGTCGTCAATTTTTTTTATAAATGTTGCCCCACGCTAGGATTTTCTCCCGTATCGGAGAGGCGGTTTACATACATAAATTGCGTAAGGACAGAGATTCTGTCGCGGAACAATTATTTGTAAATCATACAGATACTTGTCTCGTATGGGGTTCGAACCACCGGTCCTCCTCACCACAATCCAATACTAAACCACTACGTCCCGGAGCCGACAAACATACAAATGCAGGGTTTTCGTATCATTTCAGATTCGCTCTCACAAATGCACCTGTGGAAACCAGAGAGATGCTTGTGGAGATGACCCACGTAATAACTTCCAATCTATTTGCCGAGTGCAACGGAAACATTACCGAGATGGTCGAGACGCCCGTCATGGTTTACATATCAGTGAAATCGCCGTCACTTGAGCTTACTTGGGATACTGATGAGCAATACCTCTTGGACGTGCAGAACGAAGGTTAGTTTTTTTTTAGCAACCAATAAACAGACCGCTCTTGGGGATAGATTTTTTTACAGCATAAGGACGACAAATGAGCACACAACAGGTTGACTGTGGTAAGTGGATGCTGTAGCTTCTAGTGGCTACTCTACATTTATATTCAAATAAAAACTAAATTGTCAATATGGGTATTTTGCAATAACCGGCCAAATTTGCAAAGAAGGTTCAGAATAAGTAATATTATAGGCAAATGTTAGAGAAAAATTAATGTAAAAATATCTCAAACATTCTGTCCTTTTTATTTTTTAAATGCAAAATGCATACACATTCTTAAAAGTCGATCAGTAGGCAAAAACGTTGTTGTCCATAAATCACATTCAATTTGGGATAATTTCAAATAAAAGTAGAAGCCTTATTTACTCGTATTTCCAAAAACTGTAATAGCGGTATATCATTATTTATATATTTGAACTTAAGTTTAAGTCTTTAAAAATAATCCTGTATATATGATAAATAGCATAATATTGCTGTGTAGAGAACATGATACTTTTTTAATGATAACGAAACATTCCATCTTGATCCTCGGGATTGACAACGCATTTGCATTTTGATTCCTGATCGATGAAAGATGTAGTTGTCTGAGTTGTCTACAGGCACAGCATCCACCTACCATCAGGTGACCTGTTCTTGTCATCCTTACGAGTATAAAAAAAGATGTATTTAATACCATATTATGGCTCAATTAAATCTTTCACTTTGACTCGCGATAAATAAAAAAACGTGGCATTGTTTTCGTACTGGGTTTTTGGTTATGTTAGGTATTTTTTAAAGACTAATTACAATCCTTGTATATGATACATCACTTTGTATTACGGACTATTAGACCGCGAAATTAGATCTCACGATAGAAGTGGTCATAGGTCATAGCAGATCGAATGATACGTGTCAATTACATTTTCAGTATTATCGTAATGCCTGTCTTCTATTACTATCTAAACATACGAGTACGCTAATAAATAACGTAAAACCGTACAATATACTTCGGTAATAGATTGGTGGTGTTATTCTGAGAGACTTCTACCACGGTAAAAATATAATTGTGTATTAGTGCCAAAAGCTGTCTGTCGCCCGTTATAATAAACTTCTCGACGTATCATTGATTAAATTTGATGTAGCGTCTGTGACATAGAAACGATCACAAAAAATCCAGGGCCTAAAACTAAGTGCTCTATATTCCTCTTAGAAACGAGACGACCTCTACAAACGTGTGTAGGTAGTTACTTTGTTTTACTTTTACTAGGTAAATTTTTTATTAAAGTCATTCATTGCAGTCTATTAAAGTCCACTGCTAAACCTAAGCCTCCCCCATAGGTTGCCTTATAGGTAGGGGTATTTGCAAGAGCAATAACTTAGATTTATGGAAGCAGCTTTTATTGCCACGCTTGGCAGGCGGGTTGGCAACCACGATTTTTTTAAATTAGCTGTCATCAGGAAGATGCCGCTGCCCATCTCCTGTTTTATTTTCCCTCTGTCGCCTTTTACGACACCCGCGGGACGATACGGGGTAGTGGATATTTTTACACCGTCACTACACGGTACGCGAAACGGTCACTGAAAGCTTTTTTACAAATTAATCAGAAAATAATATTTTATTAACTTTATTCTTTACCTTTTTATAACCTTAAAAAGCTACAAAAATGGTCAATTGTTTGAATAAAGGAGTCAGGGTGGAATTAATTAAATAAATTTTGATTTCAATTATTGAGTTCAAACTCTTTTTTCCCTTCATCGGTCTATAAAAGTCTACAGCTGTTTATTATACATGGGTCTCGTCCGTATAGGCAGGATATTACATCTTTTTTTATAGAATACGGGTGACAAACGAGCACAGTCCACCTGATGGTAAGTGGATGCTGTGGCCCATAGACATCTACATTTATCCTCGATTAAGAATCAAAACGCAGATGCGTTGTCATCCTTGAGGACTAAGATGGAATGCCTCATTTCCAGTAAAAAGGGTCTCCGGATCTCTACACTAACTTCACGAAACACAGCAGTATTAAGCTGCTATTTTACGCTGGTATTCCGTGAGAGCGTGGTCCTTCCCCGGTCGAGCCGACTCATTCGTGTTACACCCATAATGTAGCTGCAACGTAACTCTACCACGTATGTATCTCATGTAAAATACATTGATTTGATTAAAACTACTTTTAAGGATTTTATCGCGTTTAGTTTTAATTATTTTTGATCTTAATTCCTGACGTTTCGGGTGCTTTCCAGCACCCATGGTCACGGGGGACTGAGGTGATTGACGTACCGATGTCATTGTTAAACCTGGAGTACCTTCAGTTTTTTTTAATTATTGTTTATGGTCCGATCTATGCAAAATGAATTGACTATGTCTTGAAGTCTTGCAGTGATATGCTTAGGTTTAGTTTTAATTTTATTGGTTATGTGGTCCCAAGCGGTGGTAGTACCCAGCTTCCTTCTCTTTTTAATTGAAATTAGGATATTTTTTAATGTCAATAGCCTCACGTACCATCCTTGGTAGGAATCGGTATTCTTTCGCGAGGATTTGTGGTCTATCAAATCTGATGTAATGGTTGGGGCCGTCTAGGATATGATCACAAACTTCCCGGAACGTTGATGCTTCACATCAGCTATATGTTCTTTTACGCGGGTTCTAATTGATCTTTTTGTTTGTTTTTCTTTGATTGATTTTCTTGACCTGCTTGGGACCCTATAATCAGTACAATTAAAACAAAACCCAAGCATACCACTACAAGACTTCAAGACATAATCAGTTCATTTTGCATAGATCGGAGCATAAACAATAATTTAAAAAGATTAAGGTAGTCCGGGTTTAACAATGACATTGGGACGTCAATCACCTCAGTCCCCCGTGACCATAGGTGCTGGAAGGCACCCGAAACGTCGGGAATTAAAAATAAAAATAACTAAAATTTAAATTAAACGCGATAAAATCCGTAAAAGTAGTTTTAATCAATGTGTAGTGTTCGCGTAAATATAAGAAATCATTACATTGATTTTTCACTTATATCGTTTTGAATTTCACTTCATTGTACTTTTTTATTTTCGATTTCAGTCGATAACATAGTGGTCCATATATCAGCTGAGACAGTTTACGGTGCACGTCACGCGTTGGAATCCTTCACTCAACTGATAGCGCCTGATAGACCAGAATTCTCAAACCAACACCAGTGTGGTCTCCGGATTGTAACCGGAGCAAAGATCAGGGACAAGCCTGTTTACAAGCATCGAGGCTTAGTTTTAGACACCTCTAGAAATTTCATACCTATGGAGGATATAAAGAGGACGATTGATGGAATGGCTGCCACCAAGATGAACGTGTTTCATTGGCACGTGACCGATTCGCAAAGTTTTCCGCTGGAGTCTCGTCGAGTGCCGCAGTTTACGAAGTATGTTTTAATTAATACCTTCGTTGATGTTGACGTAAAAGTTGGAAATTAGTACTTAGTATCGTTGTCTTTTTAGGTTCGACCAACGCCGCGTACTGTTTTTTTATAATTAGAGTAATGTATTCGATGCTATTGTAACAATTGACGTAAACAATCCATTGTGGTAGAAGGTATTCACACAAATCGTATAGTGTAAAAAAAAACTTAAGATATTAGAAAAGGCATTCTTGAGATTGATATCTTATATAATATTCTTATCGTTTTGAAAGGAGGATTTCGGATTTAAAATTAGATTTTATAGAACATAAATGTTGCCAGGGTTGCATCGATGGTCAACACCAAAGAAATAGTTTATAAGCAATTACAATTGTTTACATAATTAACAACGTCAATTTTTCCTATAAGAAATCTCCATCCATTCAACCATTACAGGCTATCAAACAAAAAAGGGGGACATTTGCCGTAGGTGCCACGCTTTGCATGCGGGTGTGAATACGCAGTTTTTAAATTTCTAGTTGTGTCACAGAATAATAAACATAAACATAAACACTCACGCCTGTCACCCAGAGGGGTAGGCAGAGACTACAGACTTCCATTTGGTATGATCCTGACACACCTCTCTCGCCTCCTTCACATCCATACATCTACGCATACATGCTCGTCGGTTAAGGGTACTCCTAATTTGGCCGGTTTTCAATAAATCGCCAATTTGGTCGATAAATTTTCGCCTAGGACGACGCCTTTCCGACTCTGCCATTCACTTCTGCAACATAAATTTTCTTTGTCACTCTTTCCTCATTCATTCTTTCCACATGACCAAACCACCGAAGCATTCCTTTCTTAATCCTGGTCACAACATCATCTTGCAAACCACACTCTTCTCTTATTACACAATTTCTTACCCTGTCGTTCAGATTCAGCCCTAACATACTCCTCACAGAATAATATATACTCACAGAATAAATAATAGTATTGTGTCACAAGGACACTGATGCCCCCATTAAGGCTTGTTTCTCTCTGTCGCTTTTTACGACATCCACCGGATAATATCAGGGTAGCGATTCATAATGTTTCTTAATATACTTTGTAAATTAATACTCTCAAAATTGTAAGTATAAATATTTCAATGCGACCATTATTTACACAAAAGACTCGAATGTACAATGATAAACAGTAATTATCTACGATTGCTGGAAATAATCGCTCATAATTCACGAGACCTTCATAGTGTATATTAAAACAGCTGTTCAATAACCCGTATGTACGTATATAATTTCACATTAGTATCGTTAGCCGAAGCAGTTTTCGAGAAGTTGGTGTGAACTCTTTACATTCATTTACTTTAATAGTTCTTAAAAAATAAATCAGTTTTATTATAAAAAATAGTTTATAATTGAATTCAGGTTAAAATTTAGCCATAGTATACCTGCGACTATCAATTGAAGACATTTTGTAATAAGAGGAATTAAATGCAAATGTATAAACTATAAACAAGCTGTGCTCGGCATGCGCTGCAGTGCATCTTTTGCCAGACATCTTCGCGCACAACAACACAACAGAGTTTCATCGTAATTAAATAGTATATGAACGCAAGAACAAACAAATATTTATTTTTTGTCAGAAAGCTTTGCAGTCGCACACACAAAAACTCTCCAAAGTTTCCTCCTATTCGGATAAAAGTGTACTTACCAAATATTCATTCATAAAATTAGATATTCTACACGAGTGTTGTAGGTAGTTAATTTATCAATGTCGTGTAGTGTAAGAATAGGAGAACCCACAGCCCCATATCATTCCGTGGGTGTTTTAAGAGGCATTTTCCTGATAACGGTTCAAAATAACAAAAAAAAACTGTAGTTGCTAATCGGCCTCCCACTGGTTTAACTTTTTAGATATCGATCTAACGAGAAATCCAGGAGGTCGATGAATGGAAGTGGCTCAGGATCAGGACCGTGCCATGTGGCATGCCTTGGTGAAACCTACGTTCAGGAGTGAACTTGAGAGGGGCTGTAGCGATGATGATGATATACGTGTGATTATGTATCGCATATACATACAACCATTCTGATTATAATGAGATGTTCATACTGTTTGATATAGTGGATTCTTAAGACATCCACAGTAGGTGATGGTGTAATGAACTCTTTTATGGAGGCAACACAAAGTGAGTCGTAGCTTTATCCAAAAAGGATGATGATGTACCAGTAGGTCATATCGCGTGAGCTAAGGCAATATTTTTATCAGATACCATATTTTTTCCTTTGTTAAAATTAGTAGTTTAACTTTTTAGATACGGCGCGTATTCTGCGAACGAGATATACAGCACAGAGGAAGTGCGCGAGCTGATAAGATACGCTCGAATACGTGGTATTCGTGTCGTTATAGAAATCGACTCGCCGGCTCACGCTGGTAACGGTTGGCAGTGGGGCAAGGTAATTCAATTGTTATTTAAATACATAAGGTACTATCTTAATCAAAATCATAATTAATTATATCTATCTACATAATAGCAATTAATAAATTCATGCAAGCATATACATAATATAAACACTAAAATATTAATATATAGAATATGAAAACAAAATTATCCACATACAAAACAAATACATAAAATACATATACATTATAAATATACTCGTAAACTAACAACACTATACAATAATAATCACAAACCACACTTTATAGCATACCAGTTATAAACGTATTGCTAAAAAACAACCTGGAGAATAAAAAGTAGCAAAAAATGAAGACGGTGCTGCATAGGAACGTCCACAAAAGGTTTTTACATAACCTTATCTAGTGATATACCTTCATTGTGTTTACAAAATGTGTAGCTGTTTTGTGATTGTTATGTAAGTATGTATGTATGAAGTGTGTAGCAAATATGTTATAAATAGTTTTAATCTTTATGAATGTATATCGACGGCTAGGGGTGTACAGTAAAACTCAAAAGAGTTTATGTTTATACCTTATTAATTGTTATACTTCTTACTGTATATGAAAAGAAAAATAAATAAGTAAAAATAAAAAAAATTTAAATCTTGGGTGTGTCTTTTAGAGCTCGTCTTTGAACATTTAACTGATTGAGGTCACATTCACATAGTTCACACAATATATTTGTTTTGTCGAGATACTGGTTCATGGTGATGTTAGGATCCGATAGGCAGCGATGTAGTCAAGTTATAAGCAAACTCTGTATTTGAATACTCATATTCACTATATATGTTGGTTTAGAATAAAAAAAAACTTAAAATCTGAACCCGTTAGGTAAAATATGGTCGAGTCAAGTTTTATGAATATAGTTATAGTGAATTTGGAGTAAACACTCATCTTTAGAGTAAATACTCATCGCGCCACTTATCATGTAAGTAGTGTATGTAATACAAACAGTGATTACAATAAGGATGTACTGTAACCCATAGCCACAACTTATTTAAAATGAAGAAAACCCCATCTCATCATCTAAATAAAAACGCTTTAGATAAATTATACCTTCTCTTACTTTCAAATCAAATTAAAACACTACAAAAGTTTTTTTTTAAGACCCCCTAGTCCAAAGTTTTAAGAAATCACTTTCATAAAACCTATACATACAATAGTTGTAACTATATTTATGTTTCTGTATTGTTGTACAAAAAAGTAAATAAATAAAATAAATAAATAAAGCCACTAATGCATTATCCCTGATAATAATTGTGAAATGCCTTACAGACTATAAACATACTGACTCTTTTAACTTTCAAACCAGAAAGTAGCTATGGGTGTACTGCTGTTTGGCGTTAAAAATAGTTAAGAAGGTGTTATCAACCAAGATGGATTCCCAGACAAAAATAAGCTCCTCCGCCTAGCACTAGCACACCTATCACTAAACATTCTACATTTCATTTACTTGACAGGTATTTGAAGTTATTATTTCTCGTCACAGGTCTTATAATTTTATGTCTGTCAAAAATAAAACATCTTATTTATTTGTCATCTCTCGAATGCCATGAGATCTGGAATTATGATTTCCACCTTTTTTTTAACCAATATAGTATTTTTTTAATAAAGATGCAAAAATATAGGAATTTATAGTAGTGGGTTCAGATAATACTTATTTTCTCATATTTTTCCATAGTATTTTTTATTGCTCAATCTACATAAAATAGTATAGATAGATCTAACAATTTAGATTTATATTAAAATAATTAACAATTAATTTTTAATTAAATTAATACATGCTCTATTTCTTTCTTCTTTCAATTTTACATTCATGACCCAAAAATTCTTTCCGTAAAACTTCTTGTTCCAGACTTCCAATAGTATTGTTCGTACTATATTATTTTTCTATAATATATAGTACAAGTGACTGAAATATAGTACTATACTATATATTATAGTACGGGTGGCAACACTACTGTCATCCCATACGGCACTTGCGGGCGATGTAATGGATTATCTTACGCCGCCACGACACCATTGACTTATATATTACTAGCGTAAGGACCGGGCCGACCGAACAACTAAAACGGACCACTACGCTGGCCCTAAAATTACAGTTTAGGGCCAACGCGAATCGGTCGACAGTGGTGCGCGCGCAGGACAGATTTGCCTGTCACAAATGTGTCTAGTTGCGTGGTAAAAGAATGCAAAAATTACGATACAAAGATTTAAAAAAAAACATGGGATATCGTATCATCGGTAAATAACTTTATATTAATTTTGTTATAATTAAATTATTATATAAACGCATTTTAAAGTTTTATTTTACAGTTAGTTTAGTTACGTTACCAAGATTAAGCCAGGGTTGAATTCAGACCCTCAAAAATATTGTACATGGTAAATAAAATTATACTATTTAAAAAATATATATAACCTTTGACGTCTCATGTATCTTTTTTACCGTGTGCCGTTATTTTGGCGTCACGCGTCTAGTTTATCTATACGTTTCGTTTTTTGACGGTTTATTTTTATTTCTGTTTAATTTTTGTCTGAAGAACTTGTAAGTGTAAGTTAAATTTTGAATATTGGTACCTAATATATTTTATATTTAACAAGGGTAAAACGAAAAGAGTACAAAAGAAACCATATCTGCTTAATTGAATCTGAAAATCTGATTCATAAAATATTTTGAAACTCTGATTTCAAACCAATTGCTTCTGGAGCATAGAGTTTTTATTGTGATAGCCCCTCATTATAATTGTATCAAGGATGCAACATAAATGCATTGATCGAGCATCGATTGACCAGAAACTAATTCCAATTTTACTAAAAAAACGCGGTACTCATGCACAATGCAGAAATTCTCGATATCGTAGGGTTAATATAAAAATGTAAAAGGACCCAATAACAAGCCAAGTCGACTTTTAGGTACAATTATGGTATTTTCGCTTAGTATTATGACGATACTATGTACTACAAAACTATGAAATAACGGTACAATTAGGATAATTATACTACGAAATCCGACCTTGGTTACGTCGTGTTTTGATATGACGTGTGTATTATGATAGATGCGCTACTTTTTCTTGTATGAAAAAGTTATAAGTAAAATATTTAGATGGACCTATACTTCCTTTTGAAATCATTGCACGACACGGCTAGTCTGCCAAAATTTCGCTAGGATCAAGTTTTAGTACAGTGCGTTAAATGTTGTTTTATTAATTATAAAAACCTAATTTTTCAGGAGTACGGTTTCGGAGATCTAGCAGTATGCGTTAACGCGAGGTCGTGGCGCCATCTATGTATAGAACCGCCATGTGGACAACTGAACCCCGCCAATCCAGCTATGTACCGGGTATTAAGAGACCTGTATCGAGATATCGCTGAGCTTGTGCCCCAACCGGCACTTTTTCACGTGGGTGGGGACGAGGTGAGTGTGTTGGATTTACATGTTTCAATTAAAAAAGATTAAAAAATATTAACTTTGCGTACAAACTATACTATAATACGTACATAATACATACTATATATACTATAGTACATAATAGAACGGGGGAGTCAATACAATCAATCGTTTCCAATTTTCGTGTCAAGCGTCGCTGCATGCAAATTATAAAAAAAAAATGGCAAATTGTTCAATCGTGTCTAAAGAACAGCGGGAAATGGAATTTAATTAAAGGAGACATATTCCACAACCAGTAAATCGAAACTATTTATATTTTGTGAATATTAGAAACAAAAATAAAGAAACATTATGTGTCAAAAACATTAATCAAAAGTCTAAAATGTGTTTGTAGTAGTGATAACTGATAATACGAAGTAATTGCTTGTATGTGTACTCCCGGCGACGCCAATCCTCCTACAAAGTAAAGTTGACAGCCATTCTATTGTGTATTATAGTATTCTATGTTTGCGTATGAAACACGTGGCAACAAAAAGTTCACGATTTGAAGAATTTGTATCTTTGTTAATCTGAAATTCAAAATACGTGCGATTACTTAACTTGACAACAACGATGATGATATACCATGTTTTTGATAACAAATTAAGAATATAATGTTATATTAAACGTATAAGACTCGTTATATTGCATACCTTGTTACCATGTAAGGTTTACCTAGTTATACCATGCTAAAGTCTACACTAATTAGTTAATATAATCGGGTACTAATTTGTTAAAATGTGTTGCATCTGAGAAATATTTTTCTTTATAGATTAACTAGCTGTTCGCCCTGACTTCGCCAGCGTGTAACTTAGGATTTTAATTTTTGCGCGGAACCCTAATTCCTTTTCTAAAATAAAAGTAGTCTAAGTTACTTCTTATAACATCAGCTATCTGCCAGTGAAAGTCCCTTCCTAAATCCGTTTATCCGTTTCAGAGATTAAACGGAACAAACACAAAGTCAGACAGACAAAAAATTTAAAAAGTGTGTTTTTGTTATAAGTACTGTATATAGTTTTATAGCCATTTAATAAAAAGCTCTTATTTTGACATTACAAAGAGACAATTCAATTTTATTTATTTGTATAGATGGTTTCATTGGTAATTTTCTGTGTATTTGGTAAAATTGTAGTTTTACCTACAATTTGAGGTAAAATTCAGTTACCGTTATTCATTTACCTCCTGTCGCTTCATTGATGCATAAAGCGTCATTTATTTTATAACAATAAAAATATGCTGTAACATTCATTAAATTTTATGTATTTATAACTTTTATTTAACTCATATCATGGATGCATTAAGTAAAAATGGTAGAATAAAAGGAAGATAAATTTTTTCCATTCAGGTATATTTGGGCTGCTGGAACTCGAGTGAAGAGATCGTATCCTATATGAAAAACAAAGGTTTTGACACCGATACAGAGGGTTTCATCAGACTTTGGGCGGAGTTCCACTCAAAGGCCCTGCAGATTTGGGATGAGGAAACCATGGCGGTAGGTGGACAACAGCAACCTGTGCTTATTTGGTCTTCAGAACTCACGCAACCCGAGAGGATCCAGAACTATTTGGATAAGAAAAGGTACGTCAAATTTACATTTAGACGAATATTTGATAGTAGCTCGACCATTCTTCATATTATGGACATACTATACAGGGTTATTTTTCAAAGAGTAGCCAAATTTTATACTTAAATTCAAATCCAGCGGGAATTGAACCGGATTTGCTGGCGTACTGGTAATGGAAATTTACACCGAGCACTAACCACTGAGCTAATAAACAATGCAGTATTGATAGTCTCGTGTTTAAACTATGGTTTAAGAAAATTTAAAAGTTACTTTAGTTTACTGAGACTATTAACCGTCTTTTATAATAAGACCGTGTATATATTTTACATTACATACTAACTTTAAATCTACAATACTACGTATTTAAAGAAGTGTAGCTATGTTGAAATTCATGGAAAATTAGATTAGTATATATTTATATAAGTATTCTGTTAATAATAGAAGGCAATATATCCTCAAATATTTCTCTATTCCAGATACATAATCGAAGTATGGGAGCCACTTAGCAGTCCCCTTCTGACTCAATTGCTTCGCATGGGCTACAAGACGATATCGATACCCAAAGACATTTGGTACTTAGACCACGGATTCTGGGGTAAAACGAAGTACTCCAACTGGCGGAGGATGTACGGACATGTATTGCCTCGTGATCCCAACGTGCTAGGCGGGGAGGTAGCAATGTGGAGCGAGTATGTAGACGCGCAGGCGTTAGGTGAGAGCTTAGTTTAAATTTTAATTATGACGTGCTATCATTGTCGGACGAACAACCCGCTGGGAAACTCGCCGAGTTATTCGTGGACGAGTACGACGCATATTGGTCTGTAATATTTATTTAAAATCGTTTTATTAATATTATTTGAGATTAATATAGTTGTTGCATTTTTTCGTCCTATAAGTTGATAGGAAACAAATAAATTTTGTCATCATCATCATCATCATTACAGCCCTTCACAAGTCCACTGCTGAACATAGGCCTCCCCCAGGTAATGCCACAAAACACGGTCCTGAGCCACCTGCATCTATCGACTTCCTGCATATCTTACCAGGTCGTCACTCCATCTAGTGGGGGGTTGCCCTACACTACGCCTACAGGTACGAGGCTGCCACTCGAGAACCTTTCTTCCCCATCGGTTATCGGTTCTTCGAGCTATATGGCCGGCCCATTGCCACTTCAGCTTACTAATCCGTTGGGCTATGTCGGTCACTCTGGTTTTACTGTGGATATCCTCATTTCTAGGTCTATCACGCAGAGAAACTCCGAGCATAGCCCTCTCCATAGCTCGCTGAGCGACCTTGAGCGTCCTCATACGGCCAGCAGTGAAGGACCACGTCTCAGATCCGTAAGTCATCAGGGGCAACACGCAATGGTTGTACACTTTAGTTTTCAGAGATTGAGGTATACTTGACGAGAAGATGTGTCGTAATTTCCCGAACGCTGCCCAGCCGAGTTGAATCCGTCGATTGACCTCTCGGTCGAAGTTGAACTTACCTAGTCGGACTATTTGTCCCAGGTAAACGTATTCGTCAACAACTTCGAGCATAGTGCTCCCAACAACTACCGGCATAGGTGTGACATGGACATTAGACATGATCTTTGTTTTGTCGATGTTCATCTTAAGACCTATCCGTTGGGAGACACCATTGAGGTCATTGAGCATAGTGCTTAGGTCCTCCAGCGATTCTGCCATAAGGAGTGATGTACTCGCCGTTGATATTATTACCGTATCCTTTCCAGTCCAGTAGCTTGAAAACGTCTTCCAATGCAGCGGTGAAGAGTTTCGGGGATATAACGTCACCCTGTCTTACACCTCTCTGCAGTTGGATAGGTTTCGAACTCTGGTTCTGTACTCGGATAGCCATCGTAGCCCTACTGTACAAACACTTCAGCACTTCGATATACCGATAGTCAACTTGGCACCGCTGAAGGGACTGTAGCGCCGCCCAAATTTCGACTGAATCAAAGGCTTTCTTATATTCCACATTCGCCAGGCAAAGTGGCAGATTGTACTCTTCGGACTCCTGTACAATCTGCCGCAGGGTATGTATGTGGTCTATGGTACTGAAGCCTTTTCGGAAACCGGCTTGTTCGGGAGGCTGGAAATCGTCGAGTCTGCGTGCGAGACGATTCGTAATGACTCTCGAAAACAGCACGTAGACGCGGCTCAGAAGGGATATCGGTCTGTAGTTCTTCAAGAGGGCGTTGTCACCTTTCTTGAAGTACAAGACCACCGCATTTCTGCTCCACGCCTCCGGAGTAGTGCCACCATGGAGGACGGAATTGAAAAGCTTCTGAAGGACTTCAAGTACCGGTGTTCCACCCGCTTTCAGAAGCTCCGCTGTAATTCCATCCTCGCCTGGGGCCCTGCCGTTTTTAAGGTGCTGGAGAGCCATTCTAATCTCGCTCAGACTGACGTCGGGAATATCATCGGAATAGTGTAGGATAAGACTTGCTCTTGGATCATTACTCACACTTGCATGTGGCTCCAACGATGATGTGTACAGCTGCCCATAGAACCTCTCAATCTCAATCAAAATCTCAGGTGTCCCGGAAACGATGCTGCCACACTCAGTCTTCAACTATGACAGTTGGCTTTTTCTGGCAGACAGATCTCTGGCAAAGACTTTGGAGCCCTGGTTCCGCTCGATCGCTTCTTTAATACAATGAAAAATAATATAGTGATCGGAGAGTTTTTGTGTTCTTCTGCGGCGGGTCTTGTAGAACTTAGCTCCGACCGCATGGACAGTTTCCACGAGCTTGTCATTCATATCGTCCACTGCATTGCAATCTTCTAGGCACTGAAAGCGGTTACGTAACTCGAGCTGAAAGCTTTCGGGATTCTGGATTAGAGCACGAGGGGCACGGAGCGTTGACTTCATTAGACGAGACCTCTCCAACTTAACGTTTAGGTTCAGTGTGCCTCTAACCATTCGGTGATCGCTGCCAGTTTTCACCCTTGCGATCACTGAGACATCACTGAACAGTTGGCGTCTGGTCGTCATAATGAAGTCAATCTCGTTTTTTGTCGAACCGTCGGGGCTCGACCAGGTCCACTTTCTGTGGGGCCGCTTCTGGAAGAAATAGTTCATCATAAAGAGTCCCTCTTTCTCCATAAAGTCGGCCAGCTGCTGGCCCCTTCGGTTCCGTTGCCCTATCCCAAATTTCCCAACCTTCAGCTCACCGCTTTCTTCTTGTGCCCAGTTTTGCGTTGAAGTCTCCCATCAACACCGTGTAGTGGGTTTTGTAGGAATGTATGGCTCTGGAAATATCCTCATACATTTCCTCCACCTCCTCATCGGGATGTTTCGACGTTGGCGCGTAAACCTGTATGACCTTCAGCGAATACCGTTTGGTGATTCTGAGTATAAGGTACGCAACCCTCGTCTATACTCTATATTCTTACTCTATATTATTCTATATTATACTATACTCCCAATGTTTAAAACGTTGTTAACGAGAGACTTGTGGACGATAAATCCAACACCTCCTTGGGACAGATGGTCGCCCTCCCGGTGATAGAACAAGTTGCCGGATTCGAGAATCACCGTGTCCTCCCCCTCTCTTCGGACCTCGGATAATCCTATAATATTCCAGCGCAACTTGTCTATCTCTTCTTCCAGCTCCAGGATCTTCTCGTCAGTCCTCAGGGTACGTGCGTTAAATGTTGCCAGGTCGACTCGTCGTAGGTGGCAACCGAACCTCCACCGGAGATTCTTAGCACCCCCTGCCCCGCCGTTACCATGGTTGCCAGCGTAGCCAGGAATAGCGGGGCCGCCGGGGACTGGGGGCCGTCTATTTGTGTAATTCTTCATGGGGAGTATATTGCCATAGTTGCCACGCTTGGCGAGCGGGTTGGCAACCGCAGTATTTTATTGTATAATTGTTGTTTTCAAGAAGATGCTGCTGCCCATCTCCTGCCTGTTTCCCTCTGTCGCCTCTTACGACACCCACGAGAAGATACGGGGTAGTGGATATTCTTAACCGCCACTACATGGCACTGAATTTTGTATGCAACTTTATTTTGTTGATTTAAAAATAGTTTTTATTTTTTATGTTTAAGCTTCTTGAATATTCTGGTTATTTCTACATTATTCTAAACATGATTATTAATGTTTTATTAATTAATAATATTATCATACTTTTTGTATCGGTATCGGTATTCACAATCAAAAATGGGCTCACTCAAAACTTTTAAAAAGTACTTTTTTTTACGACCTTACCCATATATATGGGTAAGGTCGTGAAAAAAGTACTTTTTAAAATATAAATTATATATATATATATATATATATATATATATATATATATATATATATATATATATGATATGATTTTATAAAAAAATATTAAACACCTGCAACAAAGTTCACGGTTTCAAAAGAATAATGACGAGTATGTGAACACCGATACAGATCACACGAGTGGAGAACAGGCGAATTTACGGGCCGAGTAGTAAGATAGAAATGTACGTGGTAGAGCCACGCTGCGGTTAAATTATGATTATAGCACAAATGGGCCGGCTCGACCGGGGCGGGACCATTCTCTCACAGAATACCAGTGTAAAATAGCAGCTTAATGCTACTGTTTCGTAGGGTGAGTGTAGGGATCCGGAGACCCTTTTTTACTGGAAAGGGGTATTCCATCTTAGTCATCAGGGGTGACAACGTATATGCATTGTGATTTTTAATCGAGGATAAATGTCTATGAGCTGTATCCACTTACCATCAGTTGGACTGTGTGCTCGTTTTCACCCGTATTCTATAAAAGAAAAAACAGTATCTTAATAACCGATGGCTTCGGTGATACCCTAGGGTAGTATGCTCTATAAATAAATCTCTAGTAGTAACGGTGTCGTGTGCAGACACGCGGGTATGGCCCCGCGCGGCGGCGGTGGGCGAGCGGCTGTGGAGCGACCCCCGCAGCGGGTTCGCGGCCGCCGAGCCGCGCCTGCAGCGGCTGCGCGCGCGGCTCCGAGCGCGGGGCCTGCGCCCCGACGTGGTCTCGCCCGAGTGGTGCGCGCAGCACGACGCACGCTGCTACTGACCATCCACGCCAGGTATTATTACCACTAATAAAGATTTTAATGACGTTGGTCTAGTGGTTGTAGTAATGCGACTGCTGGTCATAACGTCCTGGGTTCGAATCCCGGATCGGTTAACTATTGAGTTTTTCCGTTAAGAAATTCTCAGTAATTGCCCGGAGTCAGGTAGTTGGCGGTATCTCACCCCCGTGTCTCGGAAAGCACGTAAAGCCATTGGTCCTGCGCCTGATCTCTCTCTCTCTCTGGTCGTGTCGGTTTACCATCACATCGGATTATGAGAGTAAGGGAATAGAGAGTGCACCTGCGCTTGCGCATACACTTGGGCACTATAATCTTGTCCTGCGCCGATGACTAGTGTCCGTTGAGGCAGGCCGCCGTGGCCGAAATTCGGTCTGGACGATATTATTATTATTATTATTAAAGATTTCAATTAATTTGCAACCATCCGCTAACTAAATACAATGATGTGTCTTACCTGGATTGAAAAGCACCTCCCGCCCTCCCTCAATTGCGTGCACCAATCCCGTCACCACTAATCACAGCACCACTACTCCCAGCACCACTATTCCAGGAGAGACACACCATCGACGATAATACGACACGTGTTTCGCCTCTACACTGTTGGGAGTAGTGGTGCTGGGATTAGTGGTGACGGGATTGGTGCACGCAATTCAGGGAGGGCGGGAGGTCACATCATTTTATTTAGTTAGCGTTTGGTTGCAAATTAATTAATATCTTTATTATAATGGATTTCCGCAAAGTAACTCTGGATTCTATCAATTATTATCACTAAAGCTGTGGACACCTTATTCCCACATGACTAGATAAACGGAACAGAGATAAAGCTTCATACAACCGCGCGAATCGGTTGTACTACTACAAGCACGCGGGGCATGTATGCGTGACCACTGGCCGCTTATCGTGTACGCGGCGACACTAGAAAAAACCACTTACGCTGGCATAGCCAGTGGACAATCTCAGAGTGAGTGCGACGCACGTTGTTTTGTTAGTTACAAGTTTGAATATTTTAATGTAAAAACGTGCTATTATTAATAATCGTTGTTTATTGTATTGTGTGTGTGTATGAATAATACTAGAAAAATAATGATATATAGTTTTTTAACTATCTCGACAATAGGTTAAGAGATCTGAACAATCTATAAATATGGGCAAAGATTATCTATTAAACCATTATAAGGATTTAAATGATGGTAAGGGTAACGTACAATTGGGTTTCTTAATTATATCTCCTGATAACTTTATCGCTTTTGTTGATTTGCATTTCGATCTTGAAATAAATTGTTAGCAACGAAATATTTAAACATATTAAAGATTGTGAGTTTGATATACCATGTGAGATACCATTTCCCGCTAGATTAATTGAAAAAACTTTATGTTAGATTCAGAATTTATCACACCGTTAAAAGAAACAATAAATTATAAAAAAAAAAACAAAAATGATAAAAAAATATTAGAGTAAGTAATTTATAAAGTATTCAATTATACTGAATAATAAAACTATTTAACTAATGTTTTGCTTGATTTGTCTTTACCTATTGTGACAACCCTAACAAAATAGGTAACAATTTCACAGAAGCTTTGTCTCTATTCCGTTTATCAAGTGCCGTGCTATTCCCACGTACGCAACGTATGCAACGCAACGCTCTTACGTAGGTGTACAGTGTACACACTTGACCTATGTATATATATGATAATGTATATATATGATAATGTATATATATGATAATGCGCGCGATACGAGACACAACTGATACCACGCACCACTAAACCTAGGGACACACAGGTTAGAAACATCACCGCACGTGGACCCCACGGACCGATAGTTTTTTTCAGTAAATGGCAACGAAATGTCGTTTTATTTTTTTGTTCTTATGCACGTTACATTCGGTATTATGCGTTTAACTTAAACTACAAGTAATTAAATGATTCTTCTGCCATCCGTAGCATATGATCTTGCTTAACTCTCCTGCTAGTTCATGACCAAAAATTGTACTTGTGCAATATTCATTTGTTTTGTTTATTCCGTTTCTCAGCCCACGTGCCTCCAGGTATTCTCGCGTCCCTGATTTAATCATATACTTCGTCTAAAATATCACTTAATACGAATTTCTGTTAAATGAACTGTTGAAAAAGTGTAAATGCTGTCTTTAAATTAATTTGAAAGTTAGTTAATTACTTGACTTCTTAATAGGTGTAATTTAGCCTATCTTCTATAGGAACGGCAATCCAACATGATTGGAGTGAGATCAGGCGCAGAACCAACTTCTTTACAAGCTCTCCGAGGCAAGGGGGTGTAACACCGCCAACTTCCTGACTGTGTTTCCTAATGAAAACAAAATACGTAATGCACTCGAAAGTGTTTCTACCATTTTATAAATGTTTGTTACACATACATATACTATGCTATACTAGTTTTAGAAAGAGTCGGTCCGTCCGAGGAAGCTTCTACATCACGCTATTACAGGATACCATCATAGAATAGTAGTATAACATCACTGCCTTTCGTATGGCGAATAAAAACAACCAAATACCCTTTAAACTGGAACGAGGCATGCTATCAATTCCAACGGGTGAAAACGCATTAGCACTTTGATTCTTAATAGAAGACTGATATAAGTGTCAACGAGCACACAATCCAGTCAATGCTAAATGGATGATGAGACACAGCATAGACTTAGCATTGACTGGATTCTGTGCTCGTTGTCAGTTCTCACCTTACTCCATAATAAATGCTGATAAGTATTTGAGAATATTAAAACTAAACACTAATGGTTTTAGGTATTTAGGTTGATAATCTGTATAATATCTTTTTTTACAGATCTCCAGAGCACATAATAAATGGCATATCACATAAGTGTTTCTGTATGACATCTATTCTTCAATTTTTCTGTTTAAGTTATTATTAGATAATATTTAAAATCGGTGCTATTTAATAAGATATTGTATAAAAAAGTAATTAAAAATAATGAAAATGACAAACAAATGAAAATAAGCAAATTAAATAATGGAAATTATGAGAGAAAATTTATAGATTTATTTATAGTTTACGATGTATATTGTATTGTAAAGTTATTTTATATTTACATACCTCCCTGTATAAATTTAGTAAGGAAGGAATTTACTAAGTTATGACTTGTTATCGCATTTGCTAAAATGGTGTTTATATTTATAGTAAGATAATATAAAACTAACCTTAATATTTTTATACAGCTATAGATCTCAGTTATATAGAATATAAATAAAATTTGCCTAAAATATGACACCTTTTAATTCCTATTGATACTTTGTACTAAATAAATATATAAATTGTTATTGTATTTGTGTGTTTTATTGAGATATTCATCAATTTTGTTTGTTTTTTAAGCTATTGAATAGCTTTTATTGCGGGCTTTGAGCGCGGCGACCGAATCAAGAAATTCCGTAACGAAAAAAACCCCAAAACCTAACATCGTCTAACGTCGTTTCAGTTCGGGAGACTTCGGCACGGTGTTTGTGTGCGTGCTACTAGACGTACGCGTGTAGACTGGTTACATGTATTGTAAGATAATAAAAATATTTTAAACAATAATATAGTTTATTTCAAGAAGCATATTCTTTGGATTTATATGAGTCGTCGTCATGCTAGCAACTTTCGTGAATTTAGAGTATTTAATAAACACAGACTTTATACTTAAATATATTTTTTAAATTTATACATATATTATTTTTGATGGCATGTTTGGCGGATCATGGGTTCGATTCCGGCATGGAGCAAACATTTTTGCTAACAATGAAAAAAATACTGCATAAATAAAATAAATAAATAATTATAATTGCATAATTTGATAGAAAAGTTTTACCGCGGCAGTCCCAGAGTGCTACACGTTCTTTTTAATTAAAATCGATAGCACTATTTGACTAATTGTAAAAAAAGTTATTGTTAGTATGTAAGTAAAGTTAATTAAAGTTAAGTAAAGTAAATTATGCAGCTTTCCTCGTTATACTTGAAAAAGCCCGCTGTTTTCGCGAAAAGCTTGTTCCGTCAAGCAGTGGTGCCACGGCTCATCATCACCCCGCCCTATACTAGAACGAGGAATAGCTGTTCAAAACAGAATCGCTTTTTCTATTCTGAAGTTTAAACGTCGAAGAAGACTTTTTAAGCTAAAATGCATAATGCCACACGGGCCAACGTACCGGAGGGGAGTAGACATAGGCGTTCCCTTGTGCCAATGGATAAGTACACGCGATCCTATGCGTACAATAAAACTAGTTGCAATCGCAACTAGTTTTATTGTACGCATACACCTGGGCCAATGATTTCAAAAAGAAGGATAGGCCCATCTAAATATTTTACTCATAGCTTTTTCATACAAGAAAAAGTAGCGCATCTGTCATAATACAAACGTCATATCAAAACGACGTAACCAGGGTCGAATTTCGTAGTATAATTATCCTTATTGTACCATTATTTCATAGTTTGTAGTACATAGTATCGTAATAATACTAAGCGATAATACCATAATTGTACCTGAAGGTCGACTTGTTATTGTTGTTATTGGGTCCTTTTACATTTTAATATTAACCCTACGATATCGAGAATTTCTGTATTGTACATGAGTACCGCGTTTTTAAAAGAAAATTGGAATTAGCTCCCTTTCTGGTCAATCGATGTTCGATCGATGCATTTATGTTGCATCCGTGATACAACTATAATGAGGGGGTACCACGATAAAAACTGTATGCTCCAGAAGCAATCGGTTTGAAAACAGAATTTCAAAATATTTCATCAATCAGATTTTCAGATTCAATTAAGCAGATATGGTTTCTTTTGTACTTTTATCGTTTTAACCTTATTGAATATAAAATATATTAGGTACTAATATTCAAAATTTAACTTACACTAAGTTCTTCAGTCAAAAATTAAACAGAAATAAAAATAAAACCGTCAAAAAACGAAACGTATAGATAAACTCGACGCGTGATCCCTGAGTAGGACGTTCCC